AAATTTATTGAAATCATAAGTTAGGATCATAGGATATTTCAGACTGGAAAGGACCTTGGGAGTCATCCTCATGCAATTGTTTACTCAAAGCAGTATCAGCTGTGGGGTGAGATGAGGTTACTCAGGGATTTACCCAACCAAGTCTTGAAAATCTTATATGTGTAGGGGCAGAATCCATCTCTGTTCCCGGGGCAAGAGGGGGACCCCAACAGCTGACTGCACTGGAAGCTGAATTGAGCCTGATCAGGAATGAATGGCAAAAACACCCCATGTGACTGGGCCAGAGACCCCATATAACCTTGGCATAGGTTACCTCAGGAGAGGGCATTTACCTTGAAAATGCTCACTGAGCCTGACCTGATGTGACCAATCACAGCCAGCAGCACTCCACCCTCACCCTCTGTCCACCAATCAATCTTGCTCCCAACAAGAAGAGGAACACCCTTCCTCAGAAGTGAGAGTCCCTTTCCCCTGTGTCTGGCAATGATGTAAGATGGTATTAAATAGCATTAGGGTTTGGCCACTCCCACACGATTCCAGGCTCTGCCCCTTCGTGGCTACTATGAAAAATTAACCCCGTCCTTGGCTGAAACCAGGACAATTAGAGCATCTCCTGAGGTCAGCTACAGTTCTCAAGCATCGTGAGCATGTGTACTCTCTCCCAGTGACCCTTCAGGCAGTCTGCAGGACCATGACTTCCTGCTGTTGCTAGACAGTGTGGCTGGTGGACAGGAAGAAGTAGAGTGGTGAATTGGTCAGCTAGTGTGACCTTGTGCATGTGTGACTGAGTATGTGCCCAGTGTAAAAGCAAGTTTTAGTATTTTTAATACTCTTTCCATGTAATTGAAGTATTAGAAATAAGATTAGCAATAGTATCTCAAGATCAATTTTTATATGATGAGGGTCAGTTGTCAACTCAGTCACCAAGATGTGCAACTGATTTATCAGTACCCAGTTTATCTGATTGTCTTGCTTGCTTTTGGGCTTAATTTGTTTTACTTCCTCTCCTCCACTGCATCTTTGAGTGTGGTTGTATTGTGATCATTAACAAGCTAGTAAATGTCCATGAAGGTAAGCAATTAAAATTTGTGATGCTGAGTGTTACACTAAAAATAAGGCAAAGGATTCAAAAATAAAATGAAACTAAGAAAAGGCTTTGTATAAATTTCAGGACATCTGAGGTTGATTTACAAGTCCACATTCACTGTTTATCAGGACTCTGGACCTAACTGGGGTACACTCTACATCTCATCAAACTCTTGCACTTGCTTCCTTTTCTGGCACAGGAGAGCGTAGGCTAGGAGATATGGTTGGTGCTTGCTTGAATGTGACAGGAAGCTGACAGATGCTCTTAAGCCTGCTAGACAACTATTCCTGCCTGTCTTGTTCACACTGTTCAGTTATGTGGCCAGCAGACATGCCTCATAAGGGAAACAGGTTAGTGCACCTAATTAAAATTGCTAATTTAACTGAGCAGTCAGAAATATTCTTTTTCCCCTACTGTCTTAAGTCATGTGGGCAGCTTCTAAAACACTTAGCTAAATGGTTTTTTCTTTAACAGCGTCTCAGAGAGGTAGTAGTCCTGGTTTTCAAGATCCATAGGAGCTCGTCAAATATATTCCTGTGCTACAATAGCTGAACAAAAGCTAAGGGAAATGGAAAAATATGTAAAAGATGTTTTGAGAGTTGGAAACTAGACTTAATTCATGCAAGTAATACAAGTTTCCTCAGACTGTAGTGACTTATTTTAACTGGGATTGGAGAATATTTCTTTTTAAGATATAAACTATCATGTTATATGAAACTTTATTTCCTGGTATCTGTAAGGAGTGTACAAGCAGTGATTTTTTGTCAACTGTCTAAGAGGTTTTATTTTTAACTACCTACTCATTCATCACAAGACTATTCACTGGAAAAGGTGGCTGTAAAATTTTTGTGATCTCTCACATTTATTTTTGTTCAATGATAGAAATAATTAATTGTTTTCATGAAGGACTCAAGTCAAAATATGTATTGTGCAAGCAGAAAGGTTTCTTATTCAGTTCTCTCTATATTCCTCTCCTCAGAAAACATCCAACTTTGGAAACTTTCCAGTTAGAAACTTTCCAAATTGATACAACTCTGAACAACACTTTGCTTTGATAAATATCTTATTAATGATAAGAACAATGTAGGGACTTGTGGTGCCAACAAGTCTACAGTCACAGGCAAAAAAAAAAAAATCATTCTGAGCAAATTCATTACTACATGTAGGTCTTCTAGACTGACACTAGAATCAGTGTTATCCTTTCTTTGAAATTCTGCTAAGATTTTCTTCAAATTAGATAAGACATGAGTCAGGATACACTAGTGCAGATTTAACAAACATTTAATTATGTTATTTACTTATGGAAGTTGCTAAAGGGAAACCTTCAGAGATGCAGTATGTCCTCTCATTTCAGTCCCGAGGAACAGGAAGCAACTCATGCATAACAATTATCAGTTTCATAAAGATAATGAATTCATACTACTTTAAATAATAATTGTGTACCAAATACAAAAATATACAGAAGATTAATATTTTGTTAAACACTGACAAGATCTCAGAAAGAGAAATATAATTTAGTTTTCTAAGCAATATTTGCAAGTTACTATTTACTTCAGCTTCTTTTAGATGAGATAGCAAATAGTAACCTCCCTGAGATAGTTAGGTGTTATGATACATTCATCATGGTTAGGCTTTGCGAATGAAGATTTGGGAAGGGCTCTACCAACATTTGTTACAAGCATGCTGGTGGCTAAAAAGGCCAATATGAGATTGACATGTCCGACTGCAAAAGGCACAGCAGAAGGACTCCTTAGATGGTACATTCTGTGAGACACGACTCTTTCTGTGTTGTCTTTTCTCCTCAAGAGTGATCCTGCGTGCTTTCTCAAAGGCATCAGCAGAGTTATAGATGGTGTGTCTCCAGGCCTCCCGATTGGAGGCCAGAGTAGACCAGTTATACTAAACAATATGGCCAAGGCTGAGATGTTGTTTCAGGGAGTCCTTGTATCTTTTCTTTGGGGCTCCTCTCATGAGGCAACCGGTGGCAAGTTCACCATAAAGCAAGATCTTAGGGAGGCGGTGGTCTTTCATCCTTGAGACGGGCCCTGCCCAACACAGCTGTGTTCTCAGCAACATGGCCTAAACACTTGTGACTGCTGCTTGTTCTAGAACAGATGTATTGGTCACATAATCTGACCGGTGGATGTTTACGATTGTACGAAGGCAGCGTTGATGGAAGTGTTCTAGGAGTCGCAGGTGGTGGCGGTAGATGACCCATGATTTGGATTCATATAACAGAGTAGACAGCACAATGGCTCTGAAAACACTGATCTTTGAACTTTTCTTCAAGTGTTTATTTCACCAAACTCTTTTATGGAGTTTTCCGAAAGCACTATATGCCTTTGCTAACCTGTTATGATACATTAGCAGATTACAAAAATAAAATGAGGAAACAGCTCATTAATCCTATAGATTAGTCTGTGTAGAAAACTTCCTCGTTGTTCCTGCATTTGGATTACATGTTCATCATTATCCTAATTCTTTGAATGTGTACTGGATACTTTTAACAAGATACATTAAGCACAAAGTTCAAGTAACATTATTTTGGTAAAAGTTCTGAGAAGTGCTTAGAATTTTAACTCAGTTCTACTGTGTTTGTACAACAAAGCCTTAAATCCAGAAACAGCTTCAACACATCTTGACTTTATGCAGCTGGGGTCAAAGGTTTTGTTCTAGCCTTCTGTTAGCCTCATTTTGGTACCATATCGTAGTAGATTATGTCAGTCTCGAAGTGTAACCAAAGTGTCATTACACAAGGTAGAAGTCAGCCAGAGTGAAGTGGCACTCTGGCATGCCTCTCCCATCAAGTCTTCATTTATAGTTCAGTGGCACAAAGCAGATGTTGTAGTCACATCTCTGTCATCAATTCATAATTAAGGGATTCCCTTAGCTGCTAATCTAGAGAAGTTTTATAACTCCTTTGCACATTTATAATGTGCAGCATATCAGGATAAAGATCATAAGGTTTTTCCAAAACAGTGCTGAAACACTTTAAAATGGGCAGTGGATATATTTTCTCTAGTCATTCTCTTCTGTCAAAAGATATTATAGTTCTACTACTGTATTGTAATACTATTTTATGATGAATATAATATCTGCAACACTCTACCAATACATATTTTATGAGAAAAGCTCATATATGTAGTTCTTTTGTCCTGTAGAAGCATAAAAAAATCCCCTAGTTCAATATTTTTAATCTAATTCCTGATCAATAAATAAACTGCATTGTATCTCACAATCCTAACAAAAGTAACTGTACTCTGTAACCTCCTTGCAGCAGAAAAAACTTCCTCTTGGAAATACACTAGTCTTATAAAGACAAGGAAATGTTTAACAGGAAATGTAAACGTAATCATAAAAATGTGAAAAATATGGGAGTGATTTGTAGCGTGTATGCATGAATAAAAATTTCCCCTTATTCATACAACTGGCAGTATTTCACAGAATATATCTGCCCTGAATTGATGAGAAGGTTTCTCAAGCAAAGTTCCCTGTTTGCACCAGTTCTCGTACCAAACCTTCCTCAAACTCTCGACAAATAACTAGCCATAATCTACATATCTGTTTAGCAGGTTTTTTATTGATGTTCCTTCTGCCTACTTTGACTCACCAACAAAGTTTGTCAAAGCAGTGATTAAATAAGTTACCAACTAGCACTACATCCATACAGTGAAACTCCTTGTACTGTGGCTCATTTCATTCATTCACAGTAAATTTATTAATCTGCAGTAATACCTCATCAAAGTCATCATGGAATTAAAAGTAAGGATAGCTTTGGTGAGATCCAAAGAAATATTGGGACACCTAACCAATCATGAATTTAACTACACTAATCAAAGTAAATGTTAAAACTAAAGATGTTCACAGAAATATTTAAATAACAAAAAAAGTTTTTTGATTTACTGTGCTTCTAGGGTTGCTGTACTTAAAAATTAAGAATAAAGTGGCTAGTAATGACTTTACTTACATTATTCCTGCCAATGGACTTGAATAGGTTTCTTTTGACCATGTTCTCTATTCAGCTACCTTCCCCTGTTGCTTTTGATAATATTTAGAGTGGGAAGATGAGAAGAAAACAAAGAAAAATGGAAATCAAGAAATGAAGACAAGGAGGACTCACATATAATGCCTGATAGTGTTTTCTGGCATTTGGGCTTGGCTAGACTTCAAAGCAATGATTTCTCTGTAAAAATAAATATTTGGAAGTCACATTCTTGCATACACTAAGTCCCTAATGATGGTTAAAATAAATTTATTTTATCTGATTGAACTGAGCACTGATCCTGAGTCATATCCCTGGCAAAGTAGGCAAAATTATCTAATTTGTGGCTGCTTTCATTTGTTGCTATTGGTAATTCAATGTAGGTTGAAGCAATCCTGAAAGACTTCTATGTAAGTCTCCAAAATCTTGACTAAATGACTGGGGACTTGAGCAACTGCTACAGAGCAACTGTTCTCTCCTTTGTGAGTGCATAAGCCAAACTATAAATGAAAAGCTGAGCTATGAAATTGCATTTTTCTCTCAGAGTAGCCAGAAATGTTAAATGTTCAAGTTCATATAATCATTATGTGTAATTTTAAATACAATAAAGCAGATGGCTCAGAACAGAACAAGCTTCTTTTGGTTGTTGACTTGATAAAAGAAAAATGTCATTGATATTAATGCAGTAAAATTTTAACTGTGAAATTTTATTCCTTTGTTGCTTTACTACTCCCTGCAATTAGGAAAATATTTCAAAAATTAAACTGTTGTTTTGTAAGCTCTGTTGTATTCCAGCCAGCTGATGTGTACTTCAACTCTATGATTAACAAGTTCTTGTTTTTCTAAAGCACAGATAGCATTATTTTTAGAAAAGTAGCTGCCATTAATAAATGTTCCAGAAATGCTGATTCCAATGTTAGCATTTCTAAAGAGTGGAGATTATCTTGAGGTAAAACTACCTTTGAACTTTAAACTTGATAGGAAAATTAATAGAAAATATTTTTGCTTGCATTTCATCCTGAAATCTGATCGTTCAGTGTGTTGATATGAAAATTTAGCATCAGCTTCAATTTTGACTTTCCTTTTTTCAGTTGTGATGTAATCACTGTACAGATCTGTTAGTGGAAAGGCACAGGTTTAGGTTTCTTGTGCTCTTAGAAAGAATGTAACCTTGCAACTATAGCTGAGCAGTTTCGCTCAGTAATTTAATGTCACAGAATGGAGGATACAATTGAATATCAAGTATCCTTACTCTATAAACAAATGGAAATCCTCTCTTATTACCTGATAAGGACTTGAATGGAAATACATACCCTCATTCAAAGATTTCTGAAACAAGTAGCTTTCTTTGGATTCCTCCCCTGCCACTTGACGATGTTTTGTCAATGAAACGGTGTTCCCTTGTTCCACATGATAAAGACTGATGGATCGGTGTCTTTCACATACTGAGAAAAGGCCTTAAAAAAGGCCATAAGCAGTTTGGGTTTTTTGGTTGTTTGGTTGCGGCTTGTTTTGCTTTGTCTGTTTGTTTGTTTTGGGATGCATGTATTTCTGTGAGGGGAATGACTGAATTTTAAGTTATTTAGATAATCATGATCACACGTAAGACTTAAAGTCCTTTGCCGTTTATGGAATATTTCTATTACCATTTCATAATTAAGGGAAAAGGGATTGGGGTGACTTACTGAAGGTTACTCTGAAACTTAGTGGTACCTGTGCAAAAACAATCCAAGGTGTGCAGATTCTCTAGATCACACTAAGTGAAAAACAATGAGAGTTGAGAATACCTTGTTTGTTTGGGGTTTTTTGTGTTTTTTGGTTTTTTGTTTTTTTTTTCCAATGAGAAATATGTGTGCTATTAGAAATACTATATACAAATCTGATACCTTCACAGAGGAGTTTAAACTCTGCATGGACTACATGAAGAGAAAATGATAGAGAAACTAAGAACAATAAGCCTATTTGATTTTATATCAGTTCCCCAGATAGCTATTTAGAAAGATTGAGACATATATAGATAGACATATGAATCTCTCTTTCCTAAGAGAATGTAATCGAGGAGAGTATCAATATGTCATAAACAACTAAATAGACAGCCTATTTTTGGTAGTTTTCAGTCATCACTTTCTTACGAAAAGAACTAGGTTCAACTGGCCAGTTGAAAGCATCCTGTCTCAGGGGAGAAAACTGAGGCAACACAATGGATGAGAGCAAGTAAATAGATAGATATATAAGAAAGAATGAAAACAGGAAGTTTCACTGTTTGGAAATGTGATGTGTTTTCCCTTCTCTTCAAACATAAAGGGACAACAGAACTCTGTTTTATTTCTGGGAATGTCAGTGAGTCTATCTTTGTGTTTGACAACCAGATCAGTACAATCCTTTTTATTACTTCACATCAACATACCCCTTGAGGAAGAACCTCTGCTCTGTTAGATCACTCAGGAATGCAGCAACGGGAATAACTGCACAATAAAGCTCAGCCATGTCCTGCTTTAGACCCACAGGGTCTCTCTGCAGCTCTCACCCAGCAGCAGATATGAGAAAGCTTGACTCATCTAGAGCCCGCACAAGGTGGACAAGGATTACCAGATGAGTAGCTGTCTTTCATGAGATCTATATACGAGAACATTTTTCTCCTTTCACCCTTCCACTCCTGCCTCACCAACTCCACCTCAGGCAGCTTTTTCTGTATTTCAGGGCTATTCACTTTGGTTTTCTTCCTTCAGAAGATTAGAATGGACTGCTGCTGACATGTGAATCCTTTGCAGGTCTTCTGCAAAGTGTGGGTGCTGTAGTTATTTTACCATTGCTAGTCCATAGGGCTGTTCACAACTGAGCCAGGAACAATCAGGTCAGTCTCTTGTTTTCAGTGCTGATTGCGTTACAGTAGTCAAAGAGGGCTGCTGGGAAGTTCTGGATAATGAGAGCCTGAGTGCTTGGCAATAGTGTAGGATTGGGATCCTACATGTGCAGGAACATATATATGGGAGATTATTGCAGCTATGGCTGGCAGCCATCCATTATGGTGGCTTGCAGCTTGCTGCTGAGGAATTGAAATGTTAAGAATTTCTGGTTAAATATGAAATTTAATGAAATTTCTTCACAATATAGAGTGGATCACTCTTGCTAGAGATGCCAGGGCTATTGGAACACCAGTTTTCTAGGAATATGTTAGGCTAGTTTTATGGCCTGTGTCTGTATCACAGAGACATAGAAATAAGACAAGAACCAAGATGTGTTTTTTCTGCAAATATTTCATGAAAATATAGTTCCATTTCACAGCTTTATACATATGTTGGCAGACTGATAGAGAATCAGGTGAGAATGCTGCTGAGACTTGCGGTGACAACAAAGAAAAGCAACAAGGTGAGCTAAAATAGAAGCTCAGGACTTGTGGATTAAATGTGTTAGAGTTACTCAGTTATTAATAATCTATGTCTTTGAAAGCTGAGAGATCATCTTACATTTATATTAAAGGGTTTGTTACATTATATTTAAAAAGTCATGCTGTGTAATTGTGAAGGGAAGTAACTGGAAGAAAATCACTCATAAAAGAGTATTTCTGAAAATAAACCTGTAATGGGTACAGAAAGAAATTCTGGCTATTTAGTGAGGGGGAAAGAGCAGGGTGGGGGAACAGCCTCCTAAAATGAGAGTTAATAAGTGAAGTTATACAATGAACTGATTTTTATGGCTCAACCATAAACCTTTGAAGGCAAGGGTTTATCAAGTGCTGACACTCTCTTAAACACTGTAAAACATTCTGTAATGGCACCAGATTTCTGGAGTTTCTTTATAAATATATATATTTTTAATAGCTAAACCTTTTTGAAAAGAAAAGTAGTTCTACTGATGGAGAAAGGTAGCTTTTTCTTTGCTCCAGTATAATAGGTCAGTACTAAAGATTATTGACTTTGTAGCAGTATACTGTAAGTAATCATAGTAAAATTCTAGACCTTCTGCTGTTCAGTTAAAACCTTCAAATTGAATTACACTTTTAAAAATACCCTTTTTAAAATAAAAGCTAGTTACTCAGTTACTTTAAATAATTCTGCTGACTATTGATTTTTTCTCATTATGTTCACATTCTTTCCTTCACTCACAAGAAATTACTTTTCACTTCAGCAATGAAATATCCATAAGTGCCACATTTCTTAGAGATGAGTTTGTGTGCTTTCAGATAACCATAATAATTCCATCCATGCACCAAACTTGTAATATTACTTATAGTTGTAAATCCATGATTTTGACCCAGATGTTACATACACAAAAACATTAATTTATTATTATGAAACTGATCTGATCTTCTCTCCCTTGAAAAAAAAAATCTTTTTGATAGGTAAGGATTTTAAGGTATCACTTTCAACAGCTGGTTTGTTTTTTTTGGGGGGGTTGGGTTTTTATTTGTTTTGGGGTTTTTTTTGTGTTTGTTTTTTTTTTCAATGTTGCACATTTTTATCTACTGCTATTCTATTATTGTTAAGTTATAATTTAAAAAACAGTCTATTATTAATAACAACAGATAAACTTGTTCTCACCTGCAAAGTTGAACCTTTCTAAAGATTATACTGGGAACTGTTGCAGAAGCTCCAATCCACTAACTCCTGATTCTTGACAGCCTAAAGCCTTCCTACGAGTAATACAGGAAGCTGTGCAGAAATAATCATTATCATCCCTTCATCAGCCCTTGCCATCCTTCTACAGTAATGGCTGATTATATCCAGCTTAAGATGAGCATATAATAACTTTTTTAAAGCAAGATGGCTCCTTTTAAAGAAAGAACTGGATACCAGCATTCACTACAGAAGGTACACATTGAAAATGCTAGAAGTAAAAGCATTGTACATTTTTAAAATTACCTATTTGCATTTCTCTCTAAAACCTAATGTCATAAAATGGTGCAGGTAAAGCACATTTTTGCTTTCTTGCCTGTGTCTGCTTAACTAATGTGATGGCTATCTGAGTTTTAGGGGACTGGAACTTCTGCTCCCACTATTGGAGGCCGTGCTATTTCAAGGACCTGGTATCATCAATTCCAGACTGTAAGTACCATCAGTCTTTACAAACAAGGCTGTTAAAGGTCTCATGTCATATGACTTCAGGGGCATTTGTGTGCTAGACTGAACATAAATGATTTAAACATTTTTTGTCACCACTGATCTCTTTCCTCACTCAGAACACTCTCTCATGAGTACTTTCTTTCTGGTTGTGTCAAGTAAGCAGGAGCCAAACAAAAGCCACCAGCTTAAATCTGTAGCATGTCAAAATGAGAAACAAGATTGTTGGGTGCAGATACATATCATAACCTCTATGCAAAAATGTACATAAAATGTGTTTTAGAACTGTAGCTAGTCATATCAAAGTATCTGTTCAAGTTAGACTGATAAAGTGTTTTAAGTGCCTGGCATCACTGAAGTCTGGTTTTGACAGAGTATGAGATTTGAAGACTTTTTTTCTTAATGATTTTTGTGAGGGTAAGACCTACATTTTTCTTAGAAAAAGACTTTCTGGTCAGTATTTATTCTCTTTTTATTCTACTGTCCAAATGTTTTCCCTCTTGATGGAAGTTTTGATTGCATTTGTGCTCACTCTACTGTTCTGTCATGATAAATGGAATTAGTGGTTGTTTTACACTGCTGTAATTCAAACAATTATATTCTGTAAACTGTGGGTGTTAGTAGAAAGCCAAGAGTAAAGAAGTGGCTCAGACTGGGCAATTAAAGCATAACGAACTATGAAATTTATACCACTTTTAGCTGGTGAAGCAGGATTTCCTGTCAAGACTTTTATACAGAAAAAAAATTAAAATAACACATTTAGCTTATGATTAAATGGTTTTAGAAATTTATGAAAGATGAAGACACTTAATTCACCTTGTAACTGAAAATTGGCAGATCTATTTTGAAAAAAATCTCTTGGATCATTATATTGAAATCAAGTTGTCTATATTAGGCAAGTTGTCAAATTAACACAGGCTCCTTTCTTCATTATTGTTTCTTCTTTATTATAACAATAGACTTTAAAGTGTTGAAAATGAGGCAATGTTAAGGTCTAATTTCCTTTTAGTGGTATAATGAAGTAACAAAAACATTTTTATCTAGGTTAAAAGTTTCTCTCCAAACTAAAATCATGTTAATTTCTTTTTTCAATGTAGCTTCAATCTTTATAGAAAACTATCTATTAGCTGTATGATTACATAAAAAAAACCCCAAACCAAAACCCCAAACCCCACAAAGATAGCCAAATTCAGCCCTTGCTGCTCCCAGTAAAACTTGTCCTCAGTGCTCAGAAGACACAGCAAAATCATTTATTCAGCTTGATCATGAACATTAGCCTGGATTTGTCCTGTGAGCAAGGACAAATGTATACAAAAGTATACGAGTGCAACTCCTTCACACCCTGCACCCAGCTTGATTGTTCCCTCTAATCACACTACCCCTTGTGATGTTTGCTGAACAATAATGCTCACCACCAGGTATTATGTAGTATCCAGATGAAATCTACATTTAGCAAAAAAATGCTGAACACATAGGAAGAGGTTTTTCTTCTTCAGTCTTAAAAGTACTGGACCAAATCCTGCTCCCAGCTGTACTGTGTGAGCAGAATTCACATGATGAAGTGAATATCTGAGCATAGTGACTTGATAATGTCTTTGAATGGGACATAATGGGAAAAAGAAACTATTTGGAATAAATAAATAAGTCTTGAAAGGGCAGAGGATCGATTAATAATTCTTTTAAATTATTTTAAGTCTTCACAGATAAATGCATATAAACCAATGCATTTGGGACTTTTATATTGCTAATGGTTTGTTTTATTTAACTGTTTTCAACACCAGGTTCTAAAGCAGTAATTAAATTTATAAGTCAAATTCAGTCATTAGCTGAATGCAGGAACCACTTCCAAATTTAGGGCCAGTACAAGGGCTTTTCTGTGTTTCTATAAGTGTTGGACTATGAATTCACCCTCTGTATTACAACAATATTCTGAGGACTGATTTTTGTCAAAAAAATGTTTTATATATGTAGTATTTATGTATATAACACCATGGCATTTCATTAGACTTGTAGCCAGTACATAATTAAGGTATCTGGTTGATTGAGAAGAACACTGAACTTCTGGAAAAGCCAGTTTTCCATTCAACCATACTTAAGCCTCCTCAATACATCGAAGATGTGTTTGATGATTTATCCACTAGTTGTAAGCAACCTTAAAGTGTAATTGTTTCCTCTTCCCCAGTGACAAACTTTGAAATATCTTGCCTTTGTCCATGAGAGCAGAAACTGATGTTGCAACTTTCAGAAATGTTTCCTGGAAATTTTTTTATTTTTGATTCTAACTAAAAGACAAGAGGCTAAAAGAGTTTCCAAACACCTTTGAAAACATGTTGGAAGTTTCATTCATGCCACGTTATTGAATATAAAAGCAATACAATGGGATCCAGTTGTGACTGAGAAGTAGTCAACTAGAAAGGTGGAAGAAGCCAGAGGTAAGTACTGGAATTGTCAGAAAATCAAGATGTATTTTATGTAATAATACAATCACCCAGGAGTCAGGGGAGAAGGAAAGTATGGATCATTGTTTGTGCAAAGTGCTGACCTATGATGAGGAACAGGATGTTTGCTCCCAAGTTTGCTTGTGAATTATAGGTCAGAAACAGTGAAAAGATACGAAGTATGCATATGCAGCCAACATTTGTTATTTGTTATTTTGTTATTACAGGCTATATAAATCATATTTATACCACCACTTCAGTAGGTTTCTGAAGCTACTGACTCTCCTCTGCTGAGGAGAGTCTTGCAGAGTTTTATTTGTACGTATGCATATAAAGGGAGAGAGAGAGAAAGAGCACATGCTTGTCACTGGGAACAGTTCTTCTAAGAGATGTTAAACAAAAACTTGGCAAGTAACTTATATGTTCTAGATAGTTATGTTTCTGCAGATTGTGGAATGGTTCCCAAGCTCAGGTCTCATCATGTCCCACTCTGCTTCTCAAATTGTATCTCCTTCTATTTCTCGAGTTCGTGAAAACTCTGTGAGTATCTGCTCACTACACACTACAAAAAGCTTTGTGAAAAATCAAGCAGAAGCTAATATGTATTCTCTCTTTGGCTTTGGATTCGCCTCCCCAGGAGTGGTTGGCCTTGGGGTCTTGAGTTACATTGACATATAATGAATGATGCTAAGCTTTTTATTCAAGATGTATCCATTTGGGGGCAGAAGCTGTAGATGATGTCCCTTATCTAATCACTGTCTTGTTTTGCAATAAGAAAGCACTAAAACTTAGTGAAATTGTAAAATGTACTCTGTGAATATATGCACTCTAGATTTCCCTATAAGCTTCATTTTTAAAGGATTTATCACAAACATGTAGAGTGATATTGCCTTGAGTATTGATGTAACTTTCTGAAGTGATGGACAATAGAACTAAATGGAAAATGCAGACCTTTATTGTTAAGAAGTCTGTGTTTTAGTTAGATTTAGTTAGATTTTTTTGTTTTGTTTTGTTTTTTTAATTACAAATCTGAACAAAAGGTCAGCTCACACATTGTCTTCCATAGGGTTTCCTGATATTTTAACAACTGATGTGGAACTTTTTAGCTTGCTGGAAATACCTGCAGTGAATGATAATGGCTTGTGCCCTAAGCTGCAAGGCTACCTGGGCTGCCTGAGAGCACCAGGAACCAATTAACCCAGGAGCTGGGCACCTAAAACAAGCTGACACCTAGGGCTTGCTTTGGAATTTCTTAGACGCTGACAATTGAGTTGTTCAGAATTTACTGCCTAAAGGGCACTCAGTCACCAGCTCTGAAGCCCAGTTAATTAATTCTTGTTGGAAGAGCTTTACCCTGGATGCCTAATGTCTAGTTATACTGACCTTTAAAATAACACAGCTGAGATATCTACCTAATAATAGCACCCTGTGTCCTGCACGCTGGCTTTCAGAAATAGGCACAGCAGGCTTCTCTTACTCTTTTCCTTTTGTCCAAGATTGTCATACTTCTTGCCCTGCTTTTATTCAAAACTTTTCATCTAGCCATAGTGCAGACACAGCTATGGTTGAGATCACTTACGCTTTTCATGTTGCCTGTGGCCTCTTGCAGACATAGTCAATACCTGCTCCAAGGACTTCCCTGTGCTTGTAATTGCATTGTCATCTGTAAAAATTTTTTTCTGGCTGAAGTGAATTTCTCACTGCTCACAAAATTTTCACCTGTTATAGCAGTATATAGCTCTAGTCTCATAAAACTGATTCACAAGGCACACCTACAATCAGATCTGTAATGTCTGATTTGCTTTTAGCTTTCAGTACAGACCAGTAAGACATAAACATGAGATTTGGTTTTAAGAGCAGATTGTCCAAACACTTCCTCTCTACATTTATCAGACACTGGTATCCCACTAGATAACCAGGTAGCAGGGAAGCAGAGGAGCAGCAGCAAGTTAAGTCCCTCAGCACCTCACACACAAACAAGCTGCCACAAAACTGGCATTATCCAGGTTTTCAATATCTGCAACTACTCAGGCATTAAAACCTCTCACAAGGTAGCTTCTTGTGCCCTGGGTTTCAGAGCTTGCCTCTCTGCAGGCTGCTACTACTGACACAGCTAACAAATGGTATGCCTGAGAACTCCGAGACAGTGCAGAT